AACTCTGAATCACTCCTGCCTTGACTTCCAGGATGAAGGCTTTTCTGGAGTTTGACTGATCCTTTTATTAGGGAATGTGGCTATCCAGAAAGGTTTTCCTTTGCTCCTTTCTCTTGTGTGAGCTTGTTCTTTCTCACTTGTAGAACCACCCAAATCTAATTCATGCTCTTGTTAATGCTGACATTCATCTTAGTCATGTTTTGCCTGGCTTGTACAAGTTTAGTCCTTTTTAACCTTTCTGTGTAGATCAAGCCTTCCCGAAGCTATGAATAAATAAAAGCCTTCTGTTCACGCCAACAATGGTCTTTTAACAGTTGCAGCAACAAAAGAGTGACCATACTGAAAAATTCCAAATATTTGAATTTTTCCATCTCCAGCTGTTTTCTTCCCCTTTTAAAGTAATGACTTCATTATATTGGGAATCTAGAGAGAGAATTAACCGGGAACACCAGCTGTGTTGGGTGCTTCGGGGGGGGCACGGGCAGACAACATGCCAGCCCACCACAGCAGACACCACACAAACACACACATGCATACAGCAGCAGTAGGGTTGGGGGAATCTAAAGCATCTGATTGAATTGTAATAGCAATACATTTCTTTTCACTTTAATCCGAGGTTACAAGTACTTTTAGACCCTAAAATTTGCTTGCTGGATCCTTAAGTTTCCAAGGTGGGTAGCAGCCTAGGGGGATTCTGTGCTCCCTGTGCACTAGGAAGGGTTTTTAGGAAGCTACCTGGACACAGAGGAGGCACGTGGGGGCTTGGACACTGGCATAATGCTTAAACAAATGGAGGGTTACAAGTTGCCATGTAGCTGGAGCACAGATTTCATCTTCCCTTCAAACTCCCACGTAAGAAAGCCACCTGCACGACCTATAAAGAGCACCAGCAAGGTTCCCACATAAAAGGGAACACAAAATGCTGCCCCTCATACTGCCAAAGGATAAGAGAGAAGTAAATATAAAATGTCATTGCCAGCTACGAAAAGGTAAACACTTCAGCAACCGCTATTACGCGATACAAAGGTGAACTATCAGCCCTTCTGGGCTCTGGCCATGTAATGCAATCAAAGTAAATAAAAAGCCTCGCACAACAAACATGATGGGACAGGGATTGGGTTGAGGATGGATGGGACACTGCAATTTAATAACTGAAAGTATTTTGCAGGAGAAAATGCAGCCCAGGTTCCTGTCCTTCCCTCTTATTTTCTTTTAGTTTCATGGATCCCTAAGGATCTTGCATCCTAGAGGCAGCTAGAGACAGCCATCTCCCATGGTTATAGAAAACATGAAACACCAGAACTTGTCTGGATATCCTCTACAAATTCCTTCTGAAGGTGGACGGTGGAAAGTCTTGCCAATAAATCCAAGACCCCTTGGGGTAACCGGTATAAAGATATTCTCTCTCTCTCTCTCTTTCTCTCATAGTTGTCACAATTGCACAAAAACCAATGGGTTTCCACTTTTGAAATGATACTGAAGATCACACTGTCCCAGACTTGGGCAAAAGTCTTGTCTCCTTCATAAACGGGGAAAGCAGCTTGAGAGCACAAATCAACAGTGTAAGACTAAGAACCTTGTAAGAATGTTGCAGTGATCAAAATGATATGTGCATCAAGTCAAGCAATTCAGAGTCAAGGTTAAACTTCAAAGAAATGTCAACATATGGAAATGTGTAGCAAGGTTATCCAAACAACCTTAACTCTGCCCCATGTAGTGAAGCTCTGGATAAACCTGAAACAGTAGGATAATGTTACCAGCCATAACAAACAAGTTGACTGTATAAAAATAGTCACAAAAAGTAGAGGCTGGGACCATGAGAAGAGAGAGATTTTTTATATCATAAAGGAACTTGGCATCTTTCCTTCATCAGTCCCCTTGTAGTTTATCAGGGGCTCAGTGGATACCAAAACAGTGTTACACTGCTGTTTTTTGGCAGACATAATTTAGAAAAAAGAGTTTTCATGGCATGAGCTTTTCACTAGTTCATGGAAATAGTTCTAATACAGGCAAATTTTTACCAGGTAAAACAGTCTCATGATACACTAAGAATATCCCCAAGAGTACATTCACAAAAGAGCCGATTATTGTTACCATTTGCAAACACAATAACAATGCTCTAATTTGGCGGCTGTTACTTGAGGCAGAAATAAAAGGAAATTCATAGTTCTCTGTGTCTAACGAAGATACAAAGCAGCACAGAGCAAAAGCACATCTCTTTATGCAGCACAACAATCCCGACACACGCCTTCACTTCAAAAGCTCATTTTTGTCTACAGATATGGCATTCTTTCCCAATCAAATTTACACTATAAAGTGCTGCCTTGTTGCTGTTTCCATGTCTGTTCCTTTTAAATATTATTTTAAAAAATATGATATTTAAAACTTGTTAAAAGTTTTCATTTAAGGAGGGTAAAGACCTAAGGTAGAAATGATGGCAGGTACAGAAAAGCAACAACAGCCCCACTAAATCCCACAGCTTCTAGCTTTTTGGGAGCTTTTGTGTTCAAACACGTCACTTAGGTTTGCTAGGATGTACTAATAACCTGCAACGCTCTTCTGGAGAATAACAACAGCAAGCTAAGGTTGCTACTGAGACAGCCTGGCATTAAGTAGCTGGTCCTGTGCTGTACTATATGACCTTTCTCATGAACTTTATGCCTTGCAAGAACACAGAAATGAATGGAAACACCTCCCATTGAGGCCACTGTATACATGAAGACTGATCAGTCTATCAGTTACCCAGGTATAAATTTGAAGGAAGACAGCTGAAATGAATGGAGTTACACTGATCTAAAATAAGTGAGAAGTCCCGAACTATCAGCAAAGGTACCGCTGTCCTGGCCACCTGCCTGTTTATTCTTTGTTAAAGCCAAGCCTGTACGTAGTGTCTTAGAAACTCTTCAGATAACTGCAGCTTTTTTTAAAACAAGGCATTTGAGCCAAGTAACAGACTCCCTCTCAAGAGAAACCAAAGATGTGAATCTCTGCCCTTAGAAACCAGTGCGCAAGCCAACCGGAGTCACAATCACACTTCTCATGAAGGAGAACTGGCTGTCTTGTCTCTGAGTTTTGCTTTTTTTTCTTGAAAGCCAAATAGATCTGGGCTGGTTCTTAAATTTCCTAAATTTCAGTGTGTTCAGATGGGAAGGCTGAATCCAGGGGTTGCTGCGCATCATGGTATAGTTTACATATCAATGAATATGGGGACCGGGGTGGGGGGCAAGGTTCAGATTTTGTTCTTGATTTTGGCCAAGTAAACCCAAGGTAACAACCCTGCTTTTGTTCCACTGGGAGTACAGGCATTCCAGTGGAGTTTGCTTCGGGATTACACCAGTATCAGTGAGAACAGGAACTGGCAGACATCTTTCCCTTTTATACTGACAGATAATGAACATCTTGATTTGTCTTGACCGCTGAACAGTGCTAACCACATTCACCTTACTCGGGCCCCACTTTGCCACAAGTCACATGCTGTTGCTTTGATGATACTCACCATGGTCATGTGCAAATACAAACAAGTTAAGTCCTGTCAGCATCTGGGCCAAGTCATCATAGCGGCCGCAGTGTTCCCCAGCGCCATGAGCGATAAACACGAGGGCCCTAAACGGAGCATCAAGGTATACATTATTAAATTGGAAACCAGCCTACAAAGGCTCCCGAGCTGTGGGGAAAAACAGCATAATCATTTCATCAACAACCATCTTGGAGATCAACAAATGCAAGTCAAGTAACCATGGGGCATGGATGTAGCTTAGAAGATGGTAGCATGGTGAAGAAGGGAGCAGATCATTTGGTAGCAGCTTGTAGCATCTAAGAAGGAAAACAGCATCAGTTTGATCCTTGCCAGATAGATTGGTGGTGACCGGGCACTGACTAGATGGACTATGCACTAGATGGACACAACGGGTTCCAGTGGGCATCCACAGGTTGAAATGTAGACAGGTCGCTAACAATCTTTTAGCTGCGTAATTACACTGTGGTTTGGATTCTGCTTTGCTGGAAGTCAGCTTTACCACTCGGCTTCATGGGATCAGGGTTAGGATTTCTCTAAGTAGTTTCAAACATATATATTATGATTCATTTTTAGAATTCGATTGCTGCCTAATGTTACTGCACACAAATGGCTACTAGATTTTAGCTAAAGAGGCCCCAAGGACATGAGGTGAAGTTTGGAAACCTCTGAAGCTTGATCCTAGTTCCAGTTTCAACCAAAGAATAGCTTGCTTGAATAGTGAAGTGACTATTTAACAGTTACAGCAGAATTAGTTTTCATAGATTTTAGGGGGAAAAACCCAATAGGATCCTATGTGTAATGCACTATACAAGTGCCTATTCTTAAAGACTTACATTTAGAATTTTCCTTGCATTTTCTGTGGAATATAATCAAATAAAGATGGCTTGTGTTGAATGACATTTCCCTATAATCTTTATTGAACTGCATTTGTAAGGACAGCTGATTTTTTTGTAGAAATAACTTGTGGCCAACAGAGAATCTAGAAGCATTTCTCAGTCTAACATTTTTCTCTCTCAAACTGTAGTATTTCAATCTGACTTGTTCATTTAAAGATCTGATCTGTCAGCAGAACATCAGGCTGGAGGCTGCTACTTAGATGTTTTCAGTACATCAAAAAACTCTAACTTAAATAATAATTTAGTGAAATCCTCATCCCTACTTTGACTAGGGCTTTTAATACATCTTGAAAAGATGTAATCACTCGGAGATCAAATCACACCGCTTTGATCTCAGTAGGATCTAAACCCCAAAAGAACCTGTGGTAACTACCGCTCCATCTCTTTGATTAGTGCCAACTGCATAATAATCGGTAATGCTAGGCACTGTGAAGAACCACCTCTCCAAACAAGATGGACTTCACTGTAGCAAACAGGAAATTTGGTAACAGAGGCCCAAGATTACTCTGACAGTTGGGTAACACTAATCAGGAAAGACAAGAGCAGGTTTACACTCTCCTGCCCACAGTGCTAGAAACCATTTGATAGGCCTTGTTTAGTGGTTCAAAAATGACCTATGAAGTTGTACTAATGCCTAAAGTTGATATTTCCCTAGGGTTGGGTATTTGACTGGTCAAATAAAGTTCAGTCAATTGACCAGTCAAATATCAGTCAAAAATTGCCAATAGATCCAAATAATGCACAGAAAAAGCACATATTTTCCATTAAGAAATGTGTCAAAAACCAATAAACATCATATTTCTGTCAAGAAAACTACAAAAAAAAAAGGAGGGTTTTTTTTTGTGTGTAAAATTGCTGTAATCTTGGACCAGTCAAAAAATATGAAGTCAGTTGACAGGCTTGCCAACACTATATTTCTCTGAGAAAAGGCTAAACGTACCAAGCAGTCAGAATAACGGATATGAAGTTGGGAAGGGTACCAACGCTAATTTGACAGTACTAAAATGCATGTTTCAGGTCCTGCCATAATTTTTCTTGCCTGGCCATCAGATACAGAACAGAGGTAAGAAAACTGAGCAGAGAAAATCCTGCCTTTTATGCATTTACAAGGTGCTCATCACAATAGTGCATTTTCTTTTCAGTCAAAACACTATTTAAAATGCTACTAATGTACTGAGTAGAGTGCAGAGCATGAAAACCTAGTTGCAAGTTGATAGAGAACAAGTTTTATAGGGAGACATTAGCTGATACTTTCTTGTAAACCGTATCATACTTCCACTCTTATTCATCTCCATGCAGTCTCACTTCTTTGAAACCAGGTCCTAGAGTGGTTAGTGCACCCTCACCTTCTACTAAAATCAGTAAGAAATGAGGAAGCTGAGCCCCCACAAATTAAAGCTCCAGGACCTGAATCTGCCACCTTTTCCGCTAGTAATTCTTATTCTCTCCTACAGCCCCAAATAACTACAACTGAACTGCTTACCTAGGTAATGCAGAATCAGACCCTAGGCCAAAGACTGTCTTTCTTTGGCCTGCAAAACATCATGGGTCAAGTTCTCAAAAATGCTTGAGTGACTCAAAAGCCCAAGTTACAATGATTTTTAATGAGATGTAAATACGTAAGTGTACACACACACACGACTTAAATATATAACAGGTGAATATAGTGCTGTATAAAAATGGGGCACACTACTCAAAACTCAAAGCACTGCTTCTTGTTCCTCAGTTCAGGAAGGGTCCTTAAGCTTGTATCCAACTGCGGTAGTACCACTGCAGTCAATGAGTGTGTCCACACAGAAAAAGAAAAGTTCAGTCCCAGAGAGGGCAAGCAGACCTGGCCTTGCTATAATCTAGTTAGCTCAGGTGACAACAGTGAAAACGTGACAATATAGGTTAGCATGCAGAGAAGGTTGCTAGGGCTCCTAGAGGAGGGATCCCATGCTTAAGCCCTCTGCTGCCCTGTCTTCACTGCTGTTATCTGAAGCTCAAATGCAGCTAGCAGCAGCCTACCTCCATGTGCTACGATCACACCTTCACTCTGCTGGGTAGGCACATCAAGGGAGACCACATGGATGCTTGGGTTAGTCATATGCTTTACCTTCAGGCATGGGAGTTACTAGATAGCAGTGGCAAGATGCTGCTGTTGCTGAGTGCCCATGTGGCAGAGTGAAGAATTAAGTATGCATATACATTAATTATTTATTGCTATATTAATTATGCATATGTTTGTTTAGCATATTTCTTGTAGCTGATGCGGTAGTGTCTTTGCCCTCAGTACTTTGAATATTCCTGTACCTAGCATTATTACTGCCTATCTCATTTACATTCTTACTTTCTTACAGCCAAGGACTTGAATTACACAGGTCCTTAAGTCTGGACACTCTAAGGCTTGGGGTTAGTACTGAAAATATATTGAGGAATGTATTGAGTTTTTGATTAATGCCAAGGAAAATATATTGAGGAATGTACTGAGTTTTTCATTAATGCTACTGGAGCTGATGTCCTGTGGCAGCCCGCAGCTTCTAGAAATACATGTTTTATGCTATTATTATAATCAGGATTCAAATGCTGGCTGGTTGGGCCATGAAATAGGCTTTCTGACTTTTTTTCATTTGTCATGATAGGGGCTACTAAAATCAAGATACCATTGAACTAGATTGGGGTGGGGGAGGGGGGAAGCAAGAGTGCAAGTGGGGATGATGTGATATTAAGGTCTATTATCTACTGAACAGCAAGGGCTTCAGACACTTTGATGGGAACTGTACATGTTCCTTTAGGACCTGGAAAAAGGTCTCCAAGCACTAAGACTGGACCATAAACCAATACATTCTATCTCTATATATACTAAAACCTTAAGTACAAATGTAACTATTGTCCCGAATAAGGAGGGAATATATATATAATTACTTTCCTGAATCAACTTAAGTTTACGGAATGTTATTCCATGCTAGACGCATCTTTTTTTTCATGTTAGATATGTTGCTACTAGCACCAGCATGGCTTTTAAAACAGAAGAGCTGATTATCTGCAATTTGAACAAGAAATTAACCCCCCTACCAAAATGAAAAAAATCAATAGAAAGCTGCGAATTATCTAGCGTGCCAGAAAATTACTGAAATGCAGTATTAGATTTCATTTTCCTGCTTTAGCTCATTTATTAACTGCCTTGTACTTGGCATCAGCCTGCCACTTAGATGTAAAACAGTTAGAGCTCATTCATATTAAATCTCTTGCTGACAGCACTTTCTAGACTATCAAACAAGTAGATAGTCAGACAGGCATAGGGGTGTCTGCCGTCTGCAAATGGTTCGTTTATTTAGTCAAAGCCTCTTGGATTTTGCTATAGTGCTCCAGGATTATAGTATCAAAAATCAATCACAGCACTATAAATGTACACGTTAGCTCGCAGACACATAGAAGGCACATTCCAGGTCCTGTAACAGGCTGGGCTGATAGCAAAGCCCATTGTAATGCTAGCAGACATTTCCCATTATAAACCAATGTTTCCAGTTGCTTGCAACTTTGCCAGCCTTTAATATTTTGGACTTAAATTTTCCATTCGGCTTAAAAACAAACATTTTGTGGGGGGGAAAGGGAGGGTGGAATTTCAGACAAAACAATCTGCCTGATGCCTAGAACGGCATGAATGGAAAATACATGAGAAACTCAATGGTGTACATCATCTAGTGACTTATTTGAAAAGTTCCAGCACTCTCTGCCATGAGTGAGCGCTGGACAAAGGGGACTTGAAATTCAGCACAGACATGTCTTTTGCCATCCCTATGAAAATCTGCATGAATCTGGCCAAATGATATGCCTCTGAAAAATCACAGCTTGCTAGAGTTTTCGTAGGTTTTAGCAGTTTTCTTGGGTTTCAGCAGCAATATCCCCTGAAGAGCCTCTCCATGGTGAGCTGAACATGCTGGGACTGAGCAGGACTTCCGTGCAAACTGTAGCTCTAGGTTGCTCATTGCTGTGCTGGGATTCAGATACAGGCACCCAAACTGAGAGCAGGGAAATAAGCTTTTCTCTGACCTCAGTGACCATCTGCTGAGCCCAGGCAGCCTGGAGGGGAAAGCTGCTTGATTTACATGGAGAGGAAAAGAGAGGCAGACCTGCATATGGGACTGGGGGGAAGCTGGGAGGCAAGTTGACCAGGGTAGAAGGGAGATTGGGTGTGGATTGATGAA